TACAAAAAAGTCACAGTTTACTTCTCTGCCTCTTTGGTTTTGCTTTTTGAGTTGGAGTCTCACTGTGTCACCTAGGCTGGAGTGCAGTGGCGTGCATGCTTATGGCCACTCCAGTGCTGACTTGCTGGGTTCAGCCTTCCAAGTAGCTGGAACTACAGTCGTGCGCTACCATGCCCAGCTAAATTTTGATTTATTGTAGAGGCGAGGTCTCACCAAGTTGCCCGGGCTGGTCTCGAACCTGTGGGCTCAGGCAATTCACTCATCTCGGCCTCCCAAAGTGCTGGATTACAGGCTGAGCTACTGGGCCTGGCCTTCCCTGCCTCTTAATTTGGGCTTGGTCATGTAACTTACTTTGGTCAATGAAATATCGGGTGACGCAACGTAAGCAGAGGGTACAAATGTGATTGGACATGGAGGCTTGCCCTTTTATGCTTCTACCCTTACCATGAAGAGCATTTCTCCTGGAGGGCTGCTGTGCCCTCTGTGTTCAGAATGAACAAATGTGGAGCAGGCCTGGGTGAGGGGCCATGCCCAGCCAGACCCACAGCTGGAAAGTGAACGGCCAACCTTAGATTAGCCCATACACTAGCTGGCCCAAGGATGCATGAAGAATGATGCCGCTCAGTCTGGCACTGAGATGTTGTGACCGTTTGTTATGCACAATTATTGCAAAAATTGCTAACTGATACAAGCAGTTGGTCCCCCTTTGGCTTCACCAGCCCACCCAAGAATTGTATGGTCTAATTCCCTGTATGAAATCACTCTCTGCTGAGAATTCTTTTCTGGGAAAATAATTCTGAGAAAATAATTCTTTTTCTGCTTGAGACAGACCAATGCTCATGCCAAGAACAACAGGAAAAGCTGAATAAAACACAGAAAACCTCTTTTTTAAGGTACTGGAAAGCTGCCAGGTTGACAAACTTTTGAAAGGCCATAATCTCCAAAGAAGTAAAACACAAAGAGGTGAGTTGGCACTCTGTGAACCACTTTTCCCTTCAGGAAATTTGCTGATTCTAGTTAAGAGGCTGAGCATTTCGGCAGAGTCACAGCTAAGAGGAGAAAGGCAAGAGAGTCTTTGGAGCTTCAGAAACAAGAAACAAGATTGAGGTTGCCAAGGTGGCTGGGACTAGAGGGACTGAGATATCAGATAGAAGGAAGACATGGAAAAGGAATTCTTTCCCTTTCAGGCATTTGCTGAGTTAAGCTAAGCAGAAAGCCTACAAAAGAGCAGTTTGTTGGTAGTATCATATGAATGAGATAAAAATTGGAGTTCAAGACCCATCAAAGAAGCAAAGCCTAGTAATCACATCAGACTCTCAGTTGGAATCCTTGCAGGGCTACACTCTAGAAATGGGGGCAACCCAGAGGTGGAGATAGAACCTCATAAAAACTGTAACACAGATTCCAGTCAGTTCAGTACCAACTGGATTAAGGGAAACTCTCCCCACTCTGTCAGTCTACCAAAAGGCACGGTAAACCCTCCATGGAGAAAGACATTACCTCCAGATAATATCTGCTGGAGCCACTATAATTCATCATAATGGTCAGCATTCAACAACAAGCTGTTAAGCACACCAAGAAACAGGAACTAGAGTAAAACATATACACAGTAAAACTGACCCACTAATGATCCAGATGTTGGTGTTATCAGACACAGACTTGATTGACAGAATACAGACTCATCTATCTGTATTCTGCCAATCCATAAAAAGGAAAAAATGGAAATTTAGAATTGAAAAATACAATAATTGAAAGTAAGCACTTAGCATATGGGTTAACTACAATTAGACTCAGCACATAGAAGATTTATTGAACTGTAATGTAGGACAGTATAAAAACTCTAAACTGAATAACAGAGACAAAAGTAGGAAAAATACAGCAAAGGACATAAAAGATTGGGGGAAATGGTGAACAGAGCTAATGTATGTATAATTGGAGTCCTAGAAGAAGAGAAGAAGAATGAGGTAGAAATGATAGTTGAGGAAACACAGGCTGAGAATTTTTTCCAAACTGATAAAGCTTTTTTTAATTCTCCAAGCAGGATAAATAAAAAGAAAACTGCATCTAGGCATAGCATATTCAAACTGCTGAAAATCAAAGACAAGGAGAAAATGTTAAGAGCAGCCAGAGGGGGCTTGGGGGAGATGTTACTTTCAAAGACGAAATAACACTGATAATCACTTGTCAACAGAAATTATGGAGATGAGAAGACAAAGAATGTCATTTTGAAAGTGTCAACCTAAAATTGCATATCCACGACATTTCTATCCAAAAAGGAGAAAAATTTACTGCCAGCAGATCTGCACGAAAAGAAAGACTAAATGGAGTTCTTCAGGTAGAAGAAAATTGATCTCAGATAGAATCACAGATACGAAAGAATGAATAAAAAGCAACATGAATATATGAGTGTATAATATAAATGAATATTGACTGTACATAACAATAACAATGTTGTCTTGTTAGGGATAAAGTGTATGTGGAATTAAATGAATAAGATCAATGACATACTCTAATGACCCCGATATTGGTGTTATCAGACACAGACTTGACTGACAGACAAAAATATCAGTAAAGATGTAAAAATATCAGTAAAGATGTCGATGATTTGACCAACCTGATTAACAAGTCAATGAAATACATAGAACATTTGTACACAACAACTGCTGAATATACATTCTTTTCAAGTGCAAGAACATCAAAATAAAAATATTATAGGAAAGTCCCTCAATAACATAACTGCATACATTCTTAACCCAGGCCAGCTCTCTTTAGTGCATGTCTTTTTTGTGTGTGTGTGTCCTGAGCATGTCTGTAGATAGAGGACATTCCAAACAGCAACCCTCTCCTGCTCCCTATCAGAGCAGACAGCTTGCTAGTCTCTTGCCATTTAGATGTTTTAGGGATGAATCAGATACATCAGCCCATTCTGTCCTGCATAAAGGATACATACCAACTTTTCCAAGTGACCCTAGAAAGGTCACCGCTAATCAGAAATCTCACCTTGGAGCCAGGCTCGGTGGCTCAGCCTGTAATCCCACGCCTTTGGGAGGCTGAGGTGAGTGGATTGCCTGAGCCCGCGGGTTCGAGACCCGCCTGGGCAGTGGGACCTCATCTCTACAATAAATCAAAAAATCAGCTGGGCGTGGTAGCACATGCCTGTAATTCTGGCTACTCGGAAGGCTGAGGCAGAAGGATCACCGGAGCCCAGCAGGTCGAGGCTGCGGTGGCCGGGAGTGGCCACTGCACTCCAGTCTAGGCGACAGAGTGAGACTCCAACTCAAAAAAAAAAAAAAAAAAAAAAAAAGGAAAGAAATCTCACCTTGGAATGTGGGAATGGCTGCACCTACTGGGATGTTGGGTGAAAGAGAAAACATTCCACTGTAGTAGCCTGCTCTGTAAACATATAGCAAACTCCTATTATGTGTGTGCTATGCAGCTCTTAGAAACTACAGTTTTGTAAACTGCTTTAAAATGTGCAAGTAAAATAAGAAGAAAAAGTAAATACAAAATATTCTGTTCATACAGACCATTGCTGGGCAAAGCTTGTATTTGTGCACTGATAGAGATTGAGGGTGAAGTTCAAGAGTTTTGTTGCCTTCTTTTGCTGAAGTTGCTTCCTTAATAAGAAAAAAAGCGAGACATATTGGTTCAAAGTTCTGTTCTAGTTATACAATAATAACGCATTAATGCTGCAAGTTCTGCAGTGCTAGGTGCAAATACAGACTGCCTGTTACGACAACACAAGCACAATGACAGCTCATGGTCTTGAGTACTACTTCTGGGGAGTTGATGGCAGTGATTTGTGGGGGCTTCCTTCTTTTTTCTTTTTTTGAGACAGGGTCTTGCTCCGTTGCTCAGGATGGATGGAATGCAGTAGTATGATCATAGCTCACTGCAGTCTCGACCTCCTGGTTTCATGCAATCTTCCTGCCTCAGCCTTCTGAGTAGCTAGGACTACAGGCATATGTTATACTACATCTGGCTAATTTTTATTTTTGTAGAGAAGGGGTGGCAGTTCTCGCTAGTTGCTCAGGTTGGTCTTGAAGTTCGGGCCTCAAGAGATTCTCTCAACTTATCCTCCAAAAGTGTTGGGATTACAAGCATGAGCCACTGCGTCTAGCCAGGACTTCCTTCTTGATGAATTTTATATTGATACTGCAACACAACAATCATGTTGGAATCCCTAGGTTTACAGAAAAATCTCTCAGCTCTGTGGACTCCCCATGGCCACATGCTTCTACCATTTCCTGCTTAAAGGGAGAGCCCTTGAAACTGTTAACCAGGGAGATCACGGAAACCAGCAGCAGAACATCTCTAGGACCAGCAATGTAAGGTTTTGAACCCTAGGGAGGGTGGACCATGGGCAAGACTTGACATGATGTGGGGAGGGATTTGCTGCAGCCTTAAGGAGGGACCTGATACACAGGAGAAAACCTCCTCACCCAGCACAGTGAGCCCTGCCAACAACCTGTCTGCCTCTTGGCACCTGAGCAGGCTGCTCATGGCATCCTCCCTGTCATTTCCCCCATGGCAGCGTGCTTTTTCTGCAAGGCAGTCGTCAGAGAACCCCCAGCTGAAAAGCAACACAGGTCATCAACTGTGTCACCACACTATCAGCTTTCCCAGGTGGAGGAATCCAAGTTGACCCTGCATGTCAATTCAGCACACACAACTGTGCCATCACTATATGGAATATTTCTTCTGAACACGAGATTCTGGTCCAAGCAGGACTGTGATGACCAGGAGCCAGGACTCAAAACCAGGCAGTCCCGTGGGTAAGGAAGGATGGAGTGTGTCGGGAGGCTGGACTGGCCACAGCTGCTGACAGGGCCAAGGCTTCCTTGTCCCCTCTTCTCTCCTGCACATCAACACTCGTGTTCCCGTCTTGGGCTGGCCCAGAAGCTCAGGGGGATGATGGATGAAACGTCTGTGCTTGTGGCTGTCACGTATGGTTACGAGGACAGGGCTCCCGAGGCAGAACCGTGGTCCTGGGCATGGGCTCAGGGCTCAGTGGGGCGGCAGAGTGCATGCCAGCGCTTCACCAACTCCTTGGGTTTGCTGAGCATCTCATCCCAGTGCTCCAGCTCTCTGCCGCGGCTGTACATGAAGGGGCCCACCACCACCCGGCCCAGCTGGTGGCTCTCTGCAGGGGAGGGAAATCACCGGTGTACTCCTTAGCACAGAAGCCACGTCCCCAGCAACATCCCGTGACTTCTCACCCCATTCCCTCTGCCTCATCCCCTGGAAGGAAGGAGCAAGAAGTCCCCTTCTCTCTAAGCACAAGCTGACAGTCCTCAAAGGGGCCTTGCCTTTGCTCTGGAGCTGGAAGGGCTGCTTCTTTCCCTGGGCGGTGATGAGGGTGTGGAGCCCAGGTAGAAGGGCCTCAGGACTACCCACTCTGCCCTGTACCCTCCTGGAGGGCCATATGAAGCCTTCCTCATATCAAAGGGCTGAGAAAGGAAAGCGCCCTCCAGAAAGAAGGCCTTATCTGTCAGCAAGAACATTCAACAGTAATGTTCACTCACCACCTGCCACAGTGAGAGGGGTCTTAAGTCCAGCCCATGTGACCCAGCAGTTCTGCTTCCGACAGTGGCAGTGAGTGCCAGGGTGTAGGGCAGTGTGGGTGAGCTGGCTGGGATAACTCACCCAGGTTTCTAAAGGCTTGTCTAGGAGGCATGAGGAAATGCAGGGCATGCAATGGCCCACAGCACCATATCACTGAGCAGGTGATAGGAAGCCCTCCTGCCTCCTGATCTCTCTGGTGATTTGCCCAGGACTGGGTAGCAGAGGCCACCATTTAACCTCTTTCTAGGGTACCAGAACTCAACTGGACTAAGGCTGGGTATGAATCTTGCCCTCCTGCTGGTAAGCTGTGTGTCCCTTGGGCAAATATCTCAGTCCTTCTGAGTGCTAGTTTCCTTAACCGGAGAACAGAGGTTATACAGCTCCTTCCAAGGTCAGGACTGGAGGCATTCACTCTGCCTGAACACTCAGCGGCCCCTCCTTGGCCCACTGCCCCGACAACCTGGGGTGAGGGGAGAAGCCTTACTGTCCCCTTCGGTGCTCTGCATCACTGTCAGGCTGAGGCTGGCGGTGTCCAGCTCCGCGGCATCGGCCTTGAAGCTGAAAGTCTCATTGTACACAGGGTTGACGGAGCCCAGCACAGCCGAAGTCTTCTTGCATTTGACAAACTTGTTGTGGTTCATCAGAGACATTTTGACAAACACACCTGAGGGGGAATGCACACCCGCCAGCTGGGAGAGGGGAGAGAAGCCCAGTCTCCCTCCCCTAACCCTGTGGGTGGTCCAGCTTGGAGGGCACATGCCCAACCCAGGCGCCAGGTCTGCATCACTCACAGCTCTGCGCCAGTGGGCGTGGCAAGAGGAAACGAGCTGATTAGTGCACAGCCTGGTGGTGGAGGCCGGCTCCGCTCCCTTCCTCTTCCTTCCTCTGCCTCAGGAATGCAACCGTGGCCCATGGGGCCCTTGTTTACCAGAGCCTGGCATCACATGCCCATCCCTCCCTGGCAGGGGGTGGGGCTGCCTGCTGTGTCTTCAGGCCCCTTAGAACCCCTTTAAACACCTTCTTGTTCTGAGGGCTAAGTTTTGGGGTGTGGGGCTCAGATAGGTTTTGGACCCCAAGTGGAAGGTCTGAGTCCCAGCTTGCTTACAGTGACCAACAAGTGGCTGGTGACCACCGCCTCACTGAGGGGATTCACATGGGTAAGGGGGGGATGTGTGGGGTGAGCCAGGCCTTCCTTCCCTCATTTGCTATGTTCTGGGGGAGGCAGGTGCACCAGCAGCCCCAGTTAGCCGGAATATCTCAACCAGGGCAGGGAGGTGTAGGGCCTCACTCTGGCAAACTGGACCCATTCAGCTGATGGAGAGGTGGAGGTGGAGGTGGGCAGGACAATTTAAGGGCCAAGACACTGCCTTGGGGAACAAAAGGAGCAGGGTTTGGTCTTGGGGTTGAAGTAGAACTCTTTTTTTTTTTTGAGTTAGAGTCTCGACCTGCTGGGCTCCGGTGATCCTTCCGCCTCAGCCTTCCAAGTAGCTGGAACTACAAGCGTGTGCTACCATGCCTGGCTAATTTTTTGATTTATTGTAGAGATGAGGTCTCACCAAGTTGCCCAGGCGGGTCTCGAACCCACGGGCTCAGGCAATCCTCTCACCTCAGCCTCCCAAAGGCGCGGGATTACAGGCTGAGCCACCGAGCCCGGTGAAGTAGAACTCTTAATGGAGGCCAAGGAGATGAAGCTTTGGGTTCAACATAAGAGGAGCTTCTTGTACCAGAACTGTCCTCAGAGGGAGGACACATCTAAGTAGTGAGCTCTCCATGATGGGGTGTGTGCAAGCAGAAATTGGATGGTCGGGGCGAGGGTACGACTGCAATCCAGGCCCCAAGCTCAGTGGGCAAAAACTTTCCCAAGAAGGAAACGGAAGGAACTCACTGACAACACCCCTGTCATTCTGGAGCCGGAGGCCCTTGGCACGCAGCACCACCACAGTCAGGCGGCTCAAGTAGTCGTTGTAGCTGAGGCAGAACTGGAGGTCACCAAACTCCGAGGGAGGCTGGGGAGGCAGAGATGGAAGCAATCCTCCCTTGTTGCTCTGGCAGGTGCTGGAGGGGCCACAGAACGCTTCCCTCTTCCACCCACGGGGCATGCCCACACCATCTCCTTTGAGCTCCGCCACCATTTTATATACAGGGAAACTGAGGTCTGGAGCGTTGAAGGGACCTATGCAGCTGTGTGGACCAGAGCTAAGGATTCACATTCAAGTCTCTGGGATTCCAAAGTCTATTCTCAGCCACCTGGTCCTTCCTAGGGGATGGGGGTATGGTGGGTAAATATGACACTGCACTGGTCCATTTGTGGTGTCACCTTTCTCGGCTGTCTGACCTGGATGGGAATCCAAATGTGAATTTTTCAGGTTGCTCCAGGAGATCTGATGGCTGGTGTGACAGGACCTCAGGCAGCCCCTCCCTGCCTAGGAGCGGGTCTGTCCCCTCCTCGTCCCGTGCAGCTGGAGGTCTGGGCCTGTCCCCCTGAGTCGTTCTTGCAGGGTCGTGTGCAGGATGCTGAGGGCTGATGCTACCAAGAGGTGCAGAGCCCTGTGCATACCTGCTGGCTGCCCATGGCAGCATGATGCTCAGTGGCATATGTCTAGTGACCTCAATCTTACCTCCACACTCTCGGCTTCCAGGTCTCTCCAGATGATGCGTTGACAGTCACCTGCCAGGGTCTCATTCTTCAAGGGGAATAGCACCTGGCCCAGGAGCTGGTGCTTCCTCTGCCTGTCAACATGGTACACTGAGAACTTCAGCACCCTCTGGGTGACACTCTTGCTGGACACCTGGGGGGAGATGAGATGCCTGCCAGGGTCAGGCATGGGGACAGAGGATGGGATGGTGTGACTTGCTCTGGACACAGGCACGTTAGGGGAGGAATATCTCAACCAGGGGCCTACACTCCCCCAAACCCAGGCATTTTCAGGGGTTCCTCATTGGCATCAGTGCTGTGTACTCCTAGGAAATAAGGGTATGTTCTAGAGCCTTGCTACACAGAGTGTGGCTCGAGGACCTGCAGCATCCACCGACACCTGGGGCCTTGTTAGAAATGCAGGCTCTCAGGTCCTACCACAGAACTGTGAATTGGAATCTGCCCTTTCACAGGAGCTCCAGGAGACATGCCTGCCTGGAAAATGTGAGGGGCCTTGTGCTGGAGGACAGGCCTGGGACCCTGAAACATGGGCCTGTCTCTGCTATCCCTTCCCAGAGACTTGGCTTCCCTGTTTGTAAAATGGGGATAATGGTTCTTCCTCTCTGGGTTGTAAAACCCCAATCACAGTGCCTGAGCTTTGGCAAATGGTCCATTAATATTGATTTTCTCTCCCCCCCTTCCTGTCCACCCTAAGGCTCCGAGGGGTAGGATCAAGTTGGAGCAGGACAGAGTGGGGAAGTGACAATTCAAGAACAATAAGTACAAAGGCATCACCTATGGCTGTGCAGGTCAGCAAGATTGCAGCCTGAAATCTTGATGTCCTGAGAACAGCGATTCACCTGTAGATTGGCCCCACAGGACAGCCCAGGACCAGTCTCCACAGCATCCCTTTTCCCAGCTCTCAGTCTGGGAGAAGGCACAAATTGTGGTTCTGGCCTGAGCAGTCATTCTTCTGGGAAGCTGGTTGGTCCCTCCTTGCCTCTCAGGTCAGCTTGCTGCCCAGCTTTTGAGAACATGTTTGTCTAAGGCCTCTCAGCAGATCTTGACTGCCGGCTTCCCCTAAGGGCTCCCCATCACCTGCTGTAGCTCCCAGGCCTTTGCAAAACTGGCTCAGTGCCCTGATAGCCTCTCCACTTCCAGAGTCTGAGCCAGCCAGCCCAAGGCACAGCAAAGGCACCACATCTGCTCCAGCATGGCTAATCTCTGACAACATAGGACAATTCCTGCCCCTGCTCCAAGGCCCAGCCTCCGCCTTCCCTGGATAACCTTGCCAGAAACCCCATACTGCTCCAGGGCTTTGGAAGGCTTCCCCAGAGCCCCACGAGCCAGGGCCTGGCACTCAGTAGGTTCTCCCCAAATGAATTTTCTCTTTCTCTCCTCGAGGTAGTCAAGACAGGAGGAGCCCAGGCTTCTAGTCTCCCTCCTAAGTCTCTCCCCTACCCCCTCCATCAGGGGTTGGCTCCTGTAGGCCCTGACCCAGTAGGCTGAGTAAAGCAGAGCTGGTGGCATTCAGGGTCCCGGAGGCTGCAGGGACCTGGCTGGTGCAGGAGGCTGGGGCTCTCCTGTAGGATGTCTGCTCCTTTCCAAAAGGCCAGATCGGACCCTGTCTGCTCCCCAGGCTGTACCTGGAAGACGAAGTGCTCGTCAAACTGTGGGTTGGCGGTTTTGCGTTTGGTCTTGGACTGGAGGAAGCGCCGCTCATCCGGCAGCAGGTGAAGTTTCACCAGAGGGCTGCAGGTCTCCGAGGGGGCTTGCAGCTGCCGTGCCTTGATCAAGCCCACCAGGAGCCGCTCAGTCTCCTGCTGGTATTCTACCGAGAACCACAGACGTCCCAGGCAACCCATAGGGAAGTTGGTCTCACTCTTGTCCTCTGGGAACTTGTACAGCTCTGGGTTGATGGTTCCCACTGCACTCACATTTCCTACAACAAAGGGTGGAAAGGCTGGCAGGCCAGAGGAAGGCAGGGACATGGGAGATAGTGGCAGGCTCTATCTCCTTTTCATGCTCTGTCCTGGCCCTTCCCTCTTTGCTGAGCCTCAATTAGCCAACCACATCCACCCCATTCTCTTCTCCAGACTAAACACATCCCCTCTCTCTAATGCATCTCCTCTGGAAAGACTTCTTGGCATGAACACATTGCACAGCCGGGCCTGGACTCCAAGCAGAGTCCAGATGATCCATTCAACCCCTGCCACACATTCCTCTCCATCCCTCCGTGATCAACTCCCATCCCTGGAGGTCAGGACCTGCTTCAAGGGCACAGTTCCCAGCGCCTGGCCTGGCTCCTTTCCATGGTGTCTAGAGAATGAATCAGGATAAAGCATTCCTTTTCTCTTCCGCTTTAAATTAGAAGGGCCAAAATGATTACTGGAAAGGTGGTTCTTGGGAGATCTTCAGAGCAAAGAGGTGGCAGAAAGCTGTGTTCAAAGCTCTTATCATTCTGCCCTCTTGGTTGTACAACCCATCATCCTGGAGCAGGACACAAGTTCTGTACATGGGTATGCCTGGGTTCCAATCCCAGATCTATCACTTACAATCCCAGATCTATCACTTGGACAAGGCACTGTAAACCTCCCTGAGCCTGAGTTTATCATTGTGTAAAATGGAGTGATAATTCCTCCCCCACAGTCTTGGTGAGGTCTCACTCCAAAACGGCACATGAGGCTATATCACACTCAGCAATGGGATGCAGCAGGCTCTTGGTAAACAAAAGTACCCAGAAAGAGTGGTCACTGGGCAACCCTGGCTTCCTTGGGCTGGTTCAGGCTATGCTCAGGCTGGGTCCACCTGAGCAGACCTTGACCTTCGGGCAGGCCCTAGTAGGAACACTTACCAAGGTTGCCACTGGAGGTGTCAGGCAAGAGCTCTGGGGAGGGGCAGGGGTCCTGTGGGACCTGGACCCACTTTCCGCTGTACAGGGGCATCCAGTCCCGGCTTTGGAGGGAAGGAGGCACCACAAATGGCACACCTGGTGACCTGTCCAGAGGCAAGGAGAAGACCAATAGGTGGCAAGTGAGTGGTGCGGCCTCAGAGCCCTCAGCCAGGAGGGTTCAGCGCCATGGGCTGGAGGAAGAAAAGCCTTTGGGAGCCAGGAGGAGGCTGGAGTACCATTCTCTGGGCCACACCAGGCATCACACACACACTCACACACACATACATACACAAACACGCACACACATGTGCACACACACAGCTAGAGCCAATGCCACTGTATGCCCACAGCAGTGGGATGCTGAAGAAAGAACACAGCCTCTGGCGTCAGCCTGTCTGGGTTCTGATTTCTGTTATGCCACTTACCAGTTGAGCTACCTGGACCTGCTACTATGTGCTCTGAGCTTCAGTTTCCTCAGTTGGAAAATGGGTTTCCTAGCACCTGCCTACTTACTAGCTTGTGGTGAGGTGTCTGGGGTTTCCTTGGGAGGGCTTCCAGCATGGTGGCAGCACAGAGGAGGTACTCCATACACAGAACTGTCCTTTCCCACTCACTCCAAGGGGAACTCCAGGGACCCGCTTGTCCCACATGCCGCCTCACCTGCTCAGCGGGGTCTTGGCACACAGCTGGCAGAGTCTGTCCGCCTGTCCACTGGAGACAGCTGTGGTAGCCGTGGCTGGTGTGTCCCGCAGCTCCTCGTAGGTGAAGGTGGCACAAAGCCTTCTCCACAGACAGCAGCACACCCCGATCAACAGCAACAGCCCCCCAAAGATGCCCCCAATCACCAGGGCCAGCTGCTCTGGGGACAGAGACCACCCGGACAGTAGTGCCTGCCTGGGGAGAGCCTTTCCTCCTTGCACCCCTGGCCTGCTGGGGCAGAGCTGACCCCGGGAGTGTCACAGAAGCAGACCTCCATATCTGCTGGGGAGGAGTGTAGCTGGCTGGGCTCTGCCAGGTCTCATCAGAAAAGCCATTTCCCCTGGGGTCTAAGTGCCCTTGGCAGAACCTTCTGGTTTTCCCCGGAAGGCAGCTGGCCCTGGACTTGGGATTCTGGCTGAAAGAAAAGATTTCTGTGTGCTTCGGAGTAGAAATCCAACCTCCCCTCACCAGAGCCGCCATCCTCCCTGGGTCCTGCGGAGGCTCAAGGGGAAGCTGGGTGTGAGTCCCAATACTTAAGGAAAGCCCAGGAAGGAACTGGCTCCCCTGGTTTGCATTCAGAGCTCTATCCTTTGAGATCCTGGAAACTGCTGTGAGGCTGGACCCATGTCTGGGTTCTGTAACCCTCTCGAACACCGGCTCCAGTTCCCAACCCTCATGGCAAGTCCATACTTTGGGAGGGTGGGGGTGGCGTCCATGGGAGGCGGCTGTTGGGGATGAGGAGGGGAGTAGCGGATTCGAGAGGAGACAGAAATGCGCCGACCCGTTGCTTTTGGCCCCCACAGCTCCAACAGCTTCCCGGTCGCCCGTGGAAGGTGCCCAGACGTTCCCACTGGCCAGGCGCCTGGGCTGGGCAAGAAGGCGCCGCCTTAGGGTCACGTGCGGGCGCGGGGCTTCCCGGGCCTGGACGGTTGGGGTGGTGAGAAGGCAAGAACCCCACGTCTGCTCAGCCACAACTGACCGCGGGCAGCGGGACTCACCGTCCATTGCATCTGGCACCCCTATAGGAGCTGGGCAGAGGCTGGGCAGGCACCGGGGCACGCGGGGCGCAGGCCAGCGCTGGAACTGGTCGCAGAGGGTCCGCCGC